TATTGTTTCTAGGACTGAAGGACCCCCGTTCTTCCTCTGGCTGGATTTTAAATATTCCCTAATTTTTAATTACTCTGGGCGGGGGTGGGGACAGGCTGGCAGGACCAACTGAAATGAGCTTCTCTGTTAATCATTCAGGGGGCTCTGTACTGTGTCATCAAACCCAACGTCTTACAAAAAGCTTGGAGACCCAAACTCACCCCGTCCTCCCCAGCCTGACTTCTTCTGCCGGGGCCGGTGTGCATTGCGTGCCCCATGGTGGTGAGCCGGTATCTGTCCCACAGGTCAGTGCTGGTGAGGACGGGACCGTCCCCTTAAGAGTCCTTGATGGTGCTACTCAGGTCCCCCCTGCCTGGGGAGGCCAGTCTGAAGTCGGGTTTATCTTGATCATCTTTTGCCTCTGGAGATCTGGGCACTGGGAAGCCCCCACCCGCCCACAAGCCCAGACCCTTGTGAGCCTGCGTATCTGCTCACCTCCCCACGTCCCCCAGGCCCTGCTCCACGTTAGAAGAAAGCCAGACAAAGGGCAAAAGGATCCCAGGCCTCTAAAATCCTTTCTGCAGAGAAAAAGGAATGAGAGAGAGAGAGAGAGAGAGAGAGGGAGGGGGGGGGGTGGGAGGATGGCTGATGGATGGGCCAATCAACCAATCTACAGACACGCAAGAGATCAGACCCTGCGACTGCCCCCTCCTTGCCTATCAATAGAGACCCCCTGCCCCATAACCACCAGCCCAAAGTCTAACCAGACTCCGAACCAGCGTTTCCCTAACTCGTTTGGCAGCAAAATCTGACCTGAACCAAATTGATGAGGTGCCACAACCTGATGCTATTTAAAGTCTTCATTGAACTGATACAAATATTCATGCATTTTGTTAAAGAAATAGGAACATGTTTGATTACAAAGCGTTGCCGAGACCCCATTAGAGGGGTCATGGTCACACACAACAGAGGCAGCATATTTTCTTCCAAAAAATGTCCGAATTATAAGAATTTTGGCAGGAAAACAGCTCTTCAGGTCTCAGGTAAGGGTTTACGGGCACGTTACCAACGGGGCCTGCTGGGGCTTCCGTCTCCTGTCCAGGGAGTGATTAGCCAGGCTCTGTGCCCCTTAACCCAGGCCACTTGGGAAGCTGAGACGGGAGGATCACAAGTTGAAGGCCAGCCTCCTTGGTAACGTGACACTGGGTTAAGTCCCCAGTACCATCACCATCACCACCAACACAACACCAATAATAATACAAAATTGCAATATAAACTTAGGTACAGGATCCTTGGAGAAGGCACCCCTAGAGGGAGGGTCCCTGAAGCTTTGTAAATCTGCATCTGGGTGAG